GACCTGAAGGATAAACCAATATGAAGGAGGTTGAACACCAGGAAGCAGTCTCCAGTAGGGTACGGGCCATTACCTCCGCGGAGGTTTTGGACATGTCCTGGACCGGCCGGTACCGACGACCTGGAGGGCGGTTTTGGACATGGTCTTGGACCGGTTCTGGACAGGGGAGTGTGCTTACATAATATGTAGCGGGTAGAGCTTACTAAGATCAAACCTGCGCGCTTCGGCAACCATTATTTTTGATAAAACTATACTACATGCTTATCTTCTCTTAGGAATTGAAAATACGAACTCTTCTGCATTATTCTCCGGCCAACTGAGGATCGCTCTAGCCTCGTCGTCATCATCCTCCTCTGCCAGCGCTTCCCTTGGGACCATGGAGAGAAGGTCCAAAAGCTTGTGAGGTTATGTTTTAGGAACCTAACAAAACAAATATGGCATTGCCATTGAACCAAACAAATTGACATTCCCTAACAGGCACGTACCTCTTTTCGGCCAGTCTCGGACAGGAGATTAGGCCGACCTCCAACAAGGCGGTCCAGGACCGGTCTTGGACCGGTCTTGGACCTGTCCAAAACCCTTCAGTCCAGGACCGTTCGGTATCTCCCTGCACCCTAGTCTCCAGGCTTACCTTAAATCCGATTCAAAGTCTCCTCCCACAGGCACAGGTGGTGGTGGGAATCTATGGTCCTGCAGGCCATGCAGAGCATTTCCTGCAGGTGGTGGATGTGATACTGAGAGCTGTGAAAATCCTGAACTTTGCCCTCTTGACTGTTCAGGAGGCATTTCAAGAGGTAGTGCAAAAGGTTGGAGTTTAGGAGTGGACTTGTCACTGTAACTACTAAACTTGGTCTTTGAGTATGAGGATTGGTAACTGAAAGCCATGAGAGGTGCAGTCTAAGATGGAGTTGAGGTTGGTGAAGGGGTCTTGAACGACCTTGTGAAAGTTTGTGATGAAGAGACCACAACATCACCAAACATCATCAGATCCCACTTGCCTCTAAAACGCTTTTGGCTCCCAGGTAGTCCCTGGGCTTTATTACATCTGGTTCAGCTTGAACTCTCCACACTTGTCACATCCCCCTCTTTCTCTCCCTCTCCCTCCTCTCTCTCTCCCTCCCCTCCCTCCCTCTCTCTATCCTCACGCATTCTCCACCTCTTGCATCATGTCAACCAGTAAACCAGAGCCCTCTGGTAAAGCTCCAGCTTCAACAGCAAGGCCTGTTTCTTCAGCAAGTTCCATACCAAAGCGGAAGAGGGTGTCAGCCCCCAATGCCGAGTTGATCCCAACAAGGGTTACCACAACCCAGTCAACGCCCACCCCAAAACCACCACCACAGAAAATGAAAGATCAATCTTGGCAAAATGCCACTGACAAAGGTACTCTCCTTCTTCTTTAGACTCAGATAAATGATGCTCACTGAAAGTTTTCTCTTCTCAGTGCCACTGGGGACGGCAGATGGCACGACCTCCAAAAGCAAGCATTCCCTCGCCCTCCAGTCCCTTGGCCCCCCTCTGATTTGTCATGCTGTAGATCATCAGAAGCTGGGAAGGTCCTGGTCCACCGTTGTGCACACGACACCATCTTTGAAAGACACCCAAGGTGAGCCATTCTCTTACATCGTCAAACGTTAACAGAGACACTTACCTATTCCCCACCTCTAGCAGCCTCAAAGGATTCCAAGGTGGCTGGAGATGGCCACCACAATGTAGATGTTAGCATGCTGGGCATGTCATCTTCCTCTCATGCAGGTTGAATGTCGTTGGGCACCAACACCAAATGTACCTCGTTCTCTTACATGTCAATGCCTGTCATGCAATGCTGACCCTTCTTACCTCTAGCAACATCAAAGGACGTCAAGATGGCTAGTGGCAACCCCAATCATAAACCCAGAGGCAAGTGTTTTTTTTTTGCCCTCAGGTTCCCTGCCTTCATCACAACTCCATTTGACCCCATGGCCACCTTGCAGATGTGTCCGTGCTTGGTGTCTCCTCATCGACGACTGCAAGCATGATGTCCTTGTCAAGCATTAACCAAGCTATGGCATCTCATACAGGGTTCTTTTTCCTCGTATAACAAATCATGCATCGTGCATATAAAACCCATAGATATGCTCACCAAGTCACGAGCTCCCATAATTTCCCCCCTACTTCGCCCATCTCC